TGTAATGTATTTTCCATATCTCGAATATACCTAAAAATAATATAATAATTATTTGAATATCGCACTGTTCATGTTTTCTTTCCGTACCTTTGCGGTATGTTCAACTCAAATTCCAAGTATGAATTATCCCGATTAACACTGTATAATACATCGAGATCGTTATGTATATATTTTAAGCAAAAACCGAAACTTAAAAAAATAAACTTGCGCTCACAAAATAGCTTTGGCGATCGTTCGGAAACGCCTACCGCCATCTCCGACAAATTTCCACCGCATCGCCCAACAACATTAAAGTGCGCGTGCGTCGAGCGCCCAACCAAAATGGCTTCCAGCGAACGTCGGGAGACCGGCGCATCGTAAAAGATCGACTAAACATACCGGCCTAAGTACGCCGGCCAAGAGTACGGTTCAGAGACCAGTTTGCTTGGGATAACTGGAGAATTGCCTGCGACGCCGAGGGCCTCTACAGAAGCTTTTGCWAGACTCTGCATGCTTTGCATGTATCCACGAAGCGACTCAAATGTACAAATTACCCAAAATGCAAAAAGGTACAAATTACCATTTATATCTTGGATACGACAGGTTATATCAAACCCATTAAACTCTTTATGAGTAATGATTTTACAGGTTATACGGAAAGTGAAACAGCAATGGCATGGGCAGGCGGTGGCGCACGCAAAAAATAAAAATCTGATAACAGATTCATGTCAAGTGCAAGTACTCTCACTATTGTTTTTTAACAAACGAAAAAAACCGTATGAAATAGATAATTAAGCCATTAGAATCTTACACCTTCAGATGGAAATAAGTGCTAGAGCCTGTTGAAGAAATAACAGATATGGCTAGATCAAAGAGTAAAACTAATATAATAATAAGAAAACCCAACTCTACAAAATTTTAACTTTCTCGCCAACATATTCCAGGATAGCGTAATAAAATGCATAAAAGTTTCGACTCTTAACATTCAGTATTTTAAAAATTATCAACTTTCGGCTAAAGCCCATGTCCCATGCATCCGGTTTTACGATGATACGATGAATGGAAACAATTTCTATGTTTCTGTGGTTTCTATGACGACGGACTAATTGACAGATCTCCAACCAATAAAAACAATTTCGTGTCATAATATGTATCCCATGTATACAATGTACTATGTATATAAACGGATACATGGGACATGGGCTTAAGACATGCTTGCGCTATTGGCCATTATTTGACGAGTAACGTTTCCATTGTCTGGGGCGAAGTAGCAGATGACGATTACCTAGTTTTATATTTGCACTTGTATTTCTTTCATTTTAAATCTACAAAAATGTCCAATATATGATTATAGTTAAACTTAGTGCAAACCATTAGTAAAATCGGTTTTAAATAAAGCGACATCAAGCTTCCTCCACAAATTATGAAAACTGATCTTAATGATGCTCATTTTAACATGTAAACACTAAATTTTGTTCTGCTTTTGATACTTGACTCTCGTAGCGAGTCTACTTTAATTCTAACTTTCCCGACAAAATTATTTGGCCAGATTATTCGAAAATCGCGTCCTGATATTTCAACGTCCCTGGTTTCCCCGTTTACGTGTGACTGATCGTCATCTGCGCTTAAGCTCGCTATATCCGACCATGACATCCTTCTCTCATCTGTCTTAGCACACATCACATTATCGTAGATTTTTGCATTACACAGGCTGACTTTGCTCACCCCCAAAGTAGGCTGTTACATATTGATGTTTTTTTTGAAACCTACTAAGTGAAATACCGAACGGAGCCAGAAGACTTTATAGCATTTATAGATATGGTATTTTGATGCATAAGGTATTTATCGTTATATAACAAAGTTTCTTGTGTTGTATGATTAGCATAAATTCTAAATACAGTTGGCAATAATAAATAAATAAATGATTATTTATTACGGTTAAGTTAAACAGTAGATACTCTCAAACCTCAGATTTATTAGTTTTTTATGCATTTTTGTATGCTATTCACAGTTTCTCTCTCATCAATTCACTAAAAAAAGAAGGTTAGTAATCTTTTGTTTATATTCTATCCCTTTTAAATAAATCACCAGTTTCAACCCATAGAAAAAGTCCTTTATCTTACACCACTTAACCTTCTAATTTCTCCCCATTGAGCAACATGTCAATCAAAAACGTACATCGTAAACTCTGGTGAAAGCCTCTTCAGGCCAAATCCTGTGAAAACATTTTTCCTGAAAGGATCATTACGCTTTTGAGGAGAGTGTGCATCGCGAGTTTTGTCCGGCACTTGTAGATACTCGAGTGGCACGTTTTCGAGACGTACAAAACGTGCCAGAAATCTGATATAAAAATCGGATTCTCGAGAGACTTAGCTGCTCGTCCCAAGTCCATAAAGTTAATTCATGGCCATAACCCTATGCTTTACGAGCGTGCAATTATGTTATATTGTCGGACTCGATAAAGTTTTCTTCACATCGTTCAAGGGGAATTTATTGCCAAGTAGCATTATTTATTCAGTAGAAAATGTACTGCTGTTTTCTTTCATTCAGTGTTTTAATAAGGTGTGTTAGGAGTATAATAATTATACTCACGCTTTGCATTACTCTGGAATGAGACGGTTGACATCTGACGGTCAAATCTGAAAAAAAAAGTTTTTTTTTTAATTTATTGGACAAATTTTGCTAACGTACATATGGCCGGTTTACTAAAGGTTCTACAGTTCGGGAAAATTCGACACCAATGCAAATGAGTAGAACTGTTCACTAAAAATAGCTCTTTATATAGGTATATTGTACTTCAAACGAGTGGTGGGAGATTTTATTCCTTTTGAATACTCGTACAGACTAATTACTTTTAGATTCAATACTCGTTACTTTGGAGCAGTTATTCAAGTGCTCATTTTAGTCAGACGTCTTACGCAAGTCGAAGACCGATATTGGTATTTTATTAGTGCCCTTCAGCTTTGTTACACGGACACTTCAGTCATACAAACCATATCCCTTGAATTTATAATTTCCGTAATATATAGGTGTATTTACGTCTAAGAAGTAAATAATCAATCCATTTTATCCATTTTTAACTCATTGTTGTTAATTCATTCCCTATTGTAGATACTATCTATTGTTATTGTAGATATTGTCCGCAGACTTTTGGAACCTTCACGGTTGTTAATACATGCAGTTTCTAAATAAATTGTCTTCTTGAAACAATGTTTGAAAGCAAGTCATTGGACTCTGTGAAGCAAGATGCCACATGTCCATAAATATATTTTGGTGCAGTAGTAATACGGTGCGACAATTATCAATTTTAATATACGTCTTTTAATACAAATATGCCCTTTTGAACTAAGTTATGACAATTTCTAGACGACAGAGTTGGTCCGATGTCCGTACATTTGGAATCTTCGCTGCGAAATGCTCGAAAGTGTAAGAAAGTAGGTCAAAAATAAGGAATTTTAAATTATTTATTTAACAATAAAAAAATAATCCAATCACCATATACATTTAGTGAAAGGTGCTTGACTGCAATTTTTGCATAATGTTATTTTTATGTTACCCACCTGGAATAAAATATATTTTCTTATTTCGTGGCCAGCTTAAAGTTTCGAATATGTTTTGAGCCAGCTGAAACAGCTTCTTGGACCCTTAAACGATCATATTATATACAAAAAAAGTTTTTAAAAGTTTGGACGTTTTGGCATTTAAACCATCATTAATCAATTTACTTAGATAAATTTGTGTTTTAAATAAAATCTGGAAATTATGTAAATTTAATGAAATTGTCAGTATTTTATTATTGTTTATACCTTATCTCCTGTTATTTAATGTACTAATGCATTAACTGACAATTAAATTAATTTATAAGATTATTGCGCATTAATGCTTCAATTTAATGCTAATTTACCATGAACAAAATATGCCCAATAATGATATTTTAATTAGCACTAATTTTTAAGAATGTTTGAAAATGCTTGATTACGAAATTTGACCACCGATTGTTTATTTTTTTTTAATTAAAAAATGTAACTATGAAAATGCAAAACCTCTCGATTTTCTACCCTAATTTGTTACAAAAATGTCAATCGGTGCAGTACAAGCCGATATAACTCATCCTAAAGCGCTTTTTTCTAACTGTTTAAAACCGTTCAATTAGTTAAGTAAAATTTAAAAATGGTTGATATAGCAATTATACATGAGAGACTAAGA